GGAAATGCAAATCAAGACAACTTTAAGATACCATCTTACACCTGTCAGAATGGCTAAAATAAAAAACACCAATGATAACCTTTGCTGGAGAGGTTGTGGAGAAAGGGGTTCACTTATCCATTGCTGGTGGGAATGCAAACTTGTGCAGCCACTTTGGAAAGCAGTGTGGCGGTTTTTCAGGAAATTCGGGATCAACCTACCCCCGGACCCAGCAATACCACTCTTGGGAATATACCCAAGAGATGCCCTATCATACAACAAAAGTATATGCTCAACTATGTTCATAGCAGCATTGTTTGTAATAGCCAGAACCTGGAAACAACCTAGATGCCCTTCAATGGAAGAATGGATGAAGAAAGTATGGAATATATACATATTAGAGTACTACTCAGCAGTAAAAAACAATGACTTCTTGAATTTTGCATGAAAATGGACAGAAATACATTACATTTTTAAATGAGTTGCACAAACACAATAATCAAGAGGAGAAATATATATACACAGTATAACAAAACTGACCTTAAATTTGTATCAAAAAACTAAGATCCATGCCAATGTAAATCTCTAAAGCATATCCCCTTTTAAATGTAAACAAACATTTATAAACAATATTTAGGAATATAGGCATAATTCTCTAAATTACTTCATGCTGATTGTGGGTGTTGTTAATCAGGTCTTTCATGGTGTATTCTGTGTGGTAGGTTCATCTCAGTCAGCAGTTGGGCAAAGTAATTTGGGGGAGGGGGTGTTCACAGTAACCTTTCAGGAGTTTTGGTCCATCAAGCCATGTTAGTCTGGAATGAATCCACTGCTTCTCATTCTCTGTGGAAACAAAAGAAGAACATCTTTTCCAAAGCAACATATCCTTAGACCCAAATGCTGAAGTCAAGATACCTTTATAATATACATGCTGGTTTAGCTTAGCAGCCCATACAATGAAATGTCTCACTGGACTTAGATCCTTCACAGCCAAAAAAATTCAAAGAGAACACAATAATATTCATAATCAAGACTCTCTGTGTATAGTCCATTTTTATGTGGCTTTTACTGCTTTAATCTATGGCTGTCTGTACTTTCTCTTTAAAGACTTTACCTTTTTCAAATGCCATTTACTTCTTTTTATAACTGTTTATCTTCTTTTTCCTCTCTCTTCCAAGTCTACATACATTTTTTTAAACACACTGCATCTTATTTAGAGGTCTTTTTCAGCTGAATTTGTCTTTATTGCATATCCGTAAGTATTTACTGTCCCAGAGCACTTCTTAAAATGCTAAGGACTTCTTGAAAAGTTAGGCTGCAGCATTACTAGGGTATATACGGTACTTCTTGCTTGCTCTGCACAGTCCAACATGGTGAAAGTCCATTCACCACCTCTGCAAGCCATGCACATTGTTCCAGTTTTAGGCACACAGCAGGTCTATGTTGCCATTAAGCAAGTTGTAGTACCTTGCTTACAAACCCTATTTAAATGTTCGGTCTCCTGAAAGAGCCAGAGTTTGCACTGGCAGCAAAGCCCAGAAAGCTGGCATTTCAAAGCAGCATGGCTCTTTTTCTGCTACCACCGAGTCAGGAAAACCCTCTCAAAGGAGCTGTGGCATGCCACCAGCAAACAGCAAGAAGCTGTGTTAAACTCTGTATTTTTGTGTCTAGAATTCTTTTAAAGCTCTCTCAGGTTTTTAAGAAGATTTTAGTTGGGCATGTGGGTACTAATTTGTTGAGGGAAGGCTGCTTGTTGGTTCCTGGCTGCTCAGCCCCGAAATAACCACACAGAAACTATATTATTTAATTCACTGTTTGGCCCATTAGCTCTAGCTTCTTTTATTGGCTAACTCTTACATCTTAATTTAACCCATCCCCATTATTTTATATTTCACCTAGAGGCTCATGGCCTACCAGCACGGTTCCAGCATCTGTCTCCGGTGGAGGCTCCATGGTTTCTTCCTGACTCTGCCTCCTTTCTCCCAACATTTGGTTTAGTTTTCCCCACCTAGCTCTGTACCCCTATAGCTCTGCTATAGGCCCAAAGCAGTTTCTTCATTAACCAATGATATTTAAAGCATACAGAGAGGAATCCCACATCACTTCTTGATATGTGTCATGCTTAGGCAAGGAACTCTGGGTAATAGGTACCTTGAATGCTTACAATTCCATCATCTGTGAGGACCAGAAATTGAAAAACCCCTGATAACTCAAATGTGCTGTCACACCCGGAGCTCCAAGTTCATAGCGTTTCCTCTCTGCTTCTCCCCCTGCACACACCACAAAGGAAACTCATAGAGAAACCAACCATGAGCTTTGAAATCAGATCTGGGTTTAAATCTATTTATTTTGTGAGCTTGGAGAAGATGTTCAATTGGCTTAATGTGACCACTTGTGTGGAAGGAGATTGTATATATTAGTGCCCCTCTTACTGTCCTGAACAAAGACACAAGGGAGATCAATGTGCCAGCAGCTTGTCTTACTTCTAGTAAGTCCACCATAACATAATGCAGTTGAACTTCATTTGCAGAGTCCACCACTTTTCCTAGGAAGCCTCTACTTCCTCCTTGGAGTCCTGGCCCTGGCATCATGAACTTGGAGAAACCTACTTCAATCCTCCAAAGGACCTAACTAGTCATTCATTCAGTGCTCATGTTCTATCTCTAAGAAGACATTGCCTCACTGACTATAAACTCATGGGATCTGAGTGACAAATCGTGACAATAGCCCTGCATATTGTTTCCAAACCTGACTCTGTACCTTGCATTGGATTTTGGAAACCACTGATATGTCTCAGTTGCAGCACATACACAGAGTACAGCCATACAATGATAATAATAATTATAACTAGCACGTTTGACATCCATTGGTGCTACATACCACCTCATGTGTTTTGTGAAGATTAACTCATATAATCCCAACAAAATCCTTATGAAATAGCCACTTAACATGAGGAAGTTGAGACCCCAAAAAGAACAAGTAATACACCCCGTCCTCCAGTTATAAGTCAGGGTTCAAATCCCTAAGATAGAACTCCAGAGTACAAGCTATTCACCATGGTGGAATAGAAACTTATTTATAGATTTTAATTCTCAGAGACAATGTGTTTATAGAGACTATTTCTCTTACATGGCACCTACACAAAAATTGTTCCTTTTAAATGGTTTCAGATATTACAATTATTTTATAATACATTTAGGTTGTTTCAATTTGGGTAATAAATTACTTCAATGCCTTTGAACCAAAGCTACTATAACTTGATGTAAAAATCATGTAATTAAAGAGTGAAAGAGTTACAATTTATGGCATCTCCACAGAGCTTCTCCATACTCTGCCGCTCTGGCAGGAGGTGCCAGGTGACAAATTGTTCATCTCATCACCTGACCTTGTTCCTTGGTAAGGATGAGGAGGGTGTGGAGGACACTCATGCCGTGTTCCCCAGAGAAGAAGGAAATGGAATCTCTACCGTGACAAATCACGGTCAGATCTGCATCTGCCACCAGTTGCTCCCATTTTCCTCTGAGGGAGTTGGTTGCTTCCTGCCAGGGGAGCTGACAGAGGCAGGTTCACAAATGTTTGTAGTCTATTAAACGAAAGGAAGCTGAGTGGAAAATGACATATTTGAAAAGATCTCACATATGTTTATAAAAATATGCCAACATTTGCACATGGCTCATTTCTTGATGATTTTTTACTTTCTTCTTTCTGTTTTCACTACCAGAACTACATATTCTTCTCATCATTAGAGAAAAAGGAGATTGCATTTTTCAGTTACTTGTTTTATATTTATTTAAAATGAGGAGCTTTTCATAAAATACTGTAATATGATTATATACAAAGTCTGAAATTCAAGAGAGAGAGATTGAGGGAAAAATAAATATGACAAAAGCCTGGATTAATAGTGAAATTCATAAGACAATTTGATTAAATTTTCCTAAATTCACTTTGAGTTTGAACAATCCATAACCTCTTTTGCCAGATACATGAATAAGGGTGATTCTAAGTTAAGAAAAAATAGAATGAATCTTCCTACTTAATGGGTTTCCAAATAATTCTTCAGCAATGTCTAGTTTGAGTGGGACCTGAATTTTCAGTAGAGTTATCAAGCTGAACTGCTAAATTATTTTCATCAGTTTATTCACATCTAAAACAATAGCCATTTTCATTTCATGATAACAAAATCATGGAAAGTTCCTGTCTTAAAGGATAGGCTAAATTTGGAAAATTAGTACACATAACAAAACTTTTTAAAATATTCTTGTTTTTTTTCCCTTTAATTGAAACTAGCTTTTTTCCCCTTCACGTAATGTATCCTGGTTTTGATTTCTCATCCCTCCACTCTTCCTAATTCCCATCTCCCCTCCCTTCTGAAACAACCCCCTTTATGTCTTTCATTAGAAAAAAAAGGCTTCTAAGGGATAATAAAATAAAGAGAAATGAAATAAAAAGATGAAGCAAAAACTAACACACCAGAATAGGACAAAACAAAGAAACAGAAAGAAAAGGGTACAAGAAACAGATATAGGCTCAGAGATCCACCTTGTTTGCACACTCAGGAATCTCAAGGAAGCCATAATTTATACACAAAGGAACTGTAGAGTATACAGAGAATATATGTATGGTAAATTTTTTAAAAAATGAAAAGTCCTTACGCATATTATAAGGCAAGGAGCCTCCAAAGATGCCTTTGAGTTCATTTTCTGTTGGCCATCTACTGCTGAGCATGCTGCCTGCCCTTGAGAACAGTTTGTTTCCCCCATGAGACTCCCTTGGAGAAAACTAAATTTTCATTTGCAAGTGGTTACCAATTGCAGATAGGTTCTAGATAGGTTCTGGGTTAGGGATAGGGCTATGTGCCCACTTCACCTTTCAGTCCTAGAACCTCATCTGGTGTAGATCTGTGCAGGCTGTCTTGTCTCTGTGGGTTCATGAGTGCATCAATCCTGTTGATTTAGAAGGCCTTGTTTCCTTGGTGTCCTCCATCCCCTCTTTCCTTACACATCTTCGACCTCCTCAGCTGCAGGATTCTGTGAGCCCTGAGGGGAGGAATTTGATGGAGACATTGTCATTTTTAGAGCAGAATGTTACAAGGTCTCCCATTCTCTGCATAAAGTCTGGCTGTGGGTCTCTGAGGTTGTTCCCATCTGTTGATGGCTGCATAGTGCACTGACCTATGAGTATAGGAAAATATCATTAGGAATCATTTTATTGTTAATTTTTTAGTACAGTAGTATTTGGTTTTACCCTAGGTCTTAAGGTTTTCTAGGTTATCTTAGGTTATGGTCACCTAAGCAGTGTGGGGTATAGGTTCCATCTTAAGTATGTCTTAAGTCAAATCAGACATTGGTTGGTTATTCTTACAAGCTTTGTGCCACCATTGTCCTGCATATCTTGCAGGTAGGACACCATTGAAATTCAAAGAGTTTGTGGCTGGGTTGTTGTTTGCATTTCTCCCCTCACAACATGCAGAGTACCTTCCTGTACTGTAGACTCTTGCACAGAGGGGGAAGGCTCCATGCAGTCAACAGCTCAACGTTCAGGGAGTTGTGTGGGTGTTGTCTTCAGCAATGGAACTTGGCTGTCTGTTTGTGGACAGCAACCTAGTACTGGCAGCAGCCTGGGCTTGGGGGTTCCCATGGGACCCCTTTGTGCAGCAATTCAATTAGCTGTCACCTGATCCCAGCACCGAAAGTTTCAGTAGGTGGTAAGAGCTATCTAGCTGGGGCTCTGTGTCCCCCGTTATTTGGCAATTTCAGTTAGATGGTCCTCATATATGTATGTATTTTATGAAGCTTCTATTTTATTAAGTTTTCATTCTACTCTTCAAGCGGCTCTTAATTTTAGCTGTCTCTCCCCATGTTCTCTCCCCTTTCCTCCTCTTCCATCCCCCCTCTTGATCCTCCTGTTCCAATCCCTGCAAGCCTTACTATCTATTCCATTTCCCTTTCCTATAGAGCTCTATTTGTTCCTCACCTAGTCCCTTACTCTCTACCTACCCTCTGTGGCTCTATGAAATGTAGCTTGGTTATCATTGACTTAACAGCTAATAAACACATCTAAGCAAATGCATACCATTTCTGGGTCTGGGTTACCTCACTTAAGATGAGTTTTTTGGTTTTTTTTTTAAATAGTTCCATTCATCTACCTGCAAATTTTATGATATTATATTCTTTAATGGCTGAATAATATTCTACTGTGTACATGTACCACATTTTTTAATCCATTCTTCTATTGAGGAACATCTAGGTTGTTTCCCATTTCTTGCTATTATGGAATAGAGCAGAAATGAGTATGGCTAATCAAGCATCTCTGTGGTAGGATGAAGTGTCCTTTGGGTGTATGTACAGGAGTGATCTATCTGGATATAGAGATAGAGCTATTCGACACACACACACACGGGGGGCGGATTTTTAAATGTTCAGTATCCACTAGAAATATATTTCTATTGAAGAAAGTAATCTCAAGATGGAAAAATTGAGGTTACTATACTAAACCAGAAAATATTAATAGCAACCACTTGACAAGCTGGCAAGCATAAAGTAAGGTGACTACCAAAAGTTGTGTGTTCTGTGTATCAAATTATTGTTTCTTTATTCATTTGAGACAGGATTTTACTTTGTAGCCCAGGCTAGCCTTGTACTCATGGGAATCCTCCTGCCTCAGCCTCCTGAGTGCTGGGACAACAGCTATAAAATATGTAGAATAGAAAAGTAGGATGGATTGCCAAATTTGGACTTTTTATTGAAGTTAAAGTCTGGATTTGGTAAGAAGAGACTATGGGCGCCATTCTGCAAAGGTGACTTGTCACTCAAAGATAAAATTATGCCAAGGAGCATGAGATCAGGTTCTCACTCATTCAGACAGCTTCTTGCACTGGATAAGGCTTTTGAACAAAGTCCACATTGCTGTGCCTAGTTCCTCATTCAGAAAGCAGCATGCCAGGGATCAGGTGAGTGACTCATTGTACAAAAGTGAAAGAGTTGAGATCCAGCTGCTTGGCATCCTGTCTCCCCACTCAGCCACTAGGAGCCCTTTATCTGAAAAAACGTAAAATGTGTTTTACCGCTTAGAAAGAGAAAAAAGATAACACCAGGATTCCCTTGACCGGGTGCTGGAACTGGCTCTGGGGACAACTGCCTGGACTGGATCACAGCAGAGTGGCTGTGTGACCAGAGGGATCCTGAACTCCCTCCCTTCTGTGCTCCAGCTCCAGGATTAGGAAGGAAACTTCCTCACTGTGGGACCAGCAGAGATAGGTCTGATATGCTTGCTGACCCCTCTACTCCCACAGTCTCCCCCAGCAACACAGACTGTGGGAGAAATGATCATGCCAGGGTCGCTTCCCTGTCCCTGTGTTCATCTGTGCCCTGTAGAACATAGATTTTTATGTGGACCAGGAAGCAAATGATTATAAACCCACCTTGAGTTTACTCAGTGAGGTAGTGACTATGTAAGAAAACCTAATACAGCACCTGCCACCATACAGTTTCTCGATAAGTATAGGCCTCTAGGGTTACTGCTATTACTGCATGTAGGTATGCTTAGAAGCGTACAGCACATACCATTAGAACGTCCTTAACTTCTTTGGAAGAAAGCTATCTGTTGACCCTTTCCCGTTTTTCTTTCTCTTGATATATACTTATCGCCTTGCAACATCAGGCACATCTCCTTCCAACACTCTGGTTATAAGTAATACAGTAGAATGCCAATTGCAAAAGTGGCATTGAGAAGGAGTCTGCAAGACACCTCAGCACCATGAAGTTATAGGACAAAGGATCAGACTGAGAAAGAACTGTGGAGTAAACCAGGAAGGAAGGCCATGATGCAGAATAAAGCATCTTTCAGCTGGTAGAAGACAGGGTCCCAGAAAGGGGGAGGTTCTCTAAGGGAGCAAGTGGGAGGAAGGGAACGTGGATGGAGCAAAGGAAATTCTGTAGGTTTTGTATAAGAAGACAAGGACTTTCCTAGGCATGACTTCAGCTTCTGGCTGAAGAAGTGAGTTAGGTAGAGTGCTGGGCATAGAACAGGAGGAAAAGCCACAAAGTGTAGTGGTCACGAATTTGTGGCCATATTTCTTAGTGTGGCCCAGATAGAGTTGGCCACCAGTAGTGAGAGTCATCCGAAGGATGCAAGGTACTCCAAACATAGTAATTCCATCAAGGACGTGGGGGGTCTGTCCCCCACTCTTGTCAGCAGAGTCTCTGCTGTGGCATTCAGTGTTCTCTTCACTGTGGGGCTAGCAGAGATAAGCCTGGCCCTCTTCCTGCCTCCCCCACGTGCCCAGCGTCTCTCTCGGCGATACAGAAGTACAAGAGAAGTAACATGTCAGTGTGACTCCCCTGTCCTTGCACTCACGAAGGCTCTCTGGGTCACCGCATCTGTGAGGAAGAGGCAGAAGGGAGAAACCTCCTCTGTGTTCTGGCGTCAGAGTCTTTGCGCTCCTACCACACCCCTTCTGCACCAGGGCACCGGGCATGGGAAGACGGTGGGAACTGCTGCCCGCTCCCTCCTAAGGAGAGGTGAAGAGATGTCATGTATGGTTCTCTTCACTGTAGTTCTGGGGCTGGCAGTTCTGGTGGCTTCTCTCTCAAGAGGCACATTAGGCAAGTCGAGCATTCTGACCTTTACATGGGTTCCAAACCCCGGATGCCGCGTCCTCGTCTTCTCTCCCATCCCACAACAGTCCTTCCCACGTGACATGCCAACCCTGGCCCCCTTCTCATTCTTTCCTTCTGTAGCCCAAATCTTCTATTTTTGAAACAAATCTCGATTTGAATAAAAGAAAAACCAGGAAACAAACTCTCTTCCAAACAACCTTCACTTAAAAAGTCGCAGGACCAGCTACTGTTTTCTCAAGGAGAAAACAATTCAAACTTCTTGAGCAATACTGCATACTAGGCTGTGAGCTGTAGGAGACAGAGATGAGCAGAGAAGAACGGGCAAAGGTTGGGTACACAGCTCACTAAGCAGGAGAGACAGACAGCACCGGGCATCCCAGGGAATGGCTCTGTGGGGAGAGAGGCACTGCACTCGGACAAGGACGGAAACTTGAAGTTAGAGGTTTTATGGCTACGTTCAAAGTTCAGACAAGGAGGCTGGGAAATTTGGGGTCCCTTCAAAGGGCAAATGGTCCCAGACCTTTATTTCAGGCACAGTGCAGCGAAGATGAAGGTGAATGGTTGGCAGGAAGGGAAGAAAATTGATGTAACATTGGACTAAAACTTTTGGCAAGACTACGCATTTGGTTAGAACCAGAACAAGCACCTTCTAGAATCCCATTCTGTTATATACTAGGAGGAGCAGAGTGGCCTGGGAGATAGCTCCACCCATAAAGCACTTGCAGAACTGTGGCCCCACATGAAGCCAAGTGTGTCCATATCCATCTGGAAACCCAGTTCTGCGGAATACAGAGACAGGCAGGTCTTCGGAGCTCGACAGTCACCCAGCCTAACCGGCTGCTACGTCCTGGGTTCAGTGAGAGGACTTAGAGAAAATATGATGAGCTGTAGCCGAAGACAACCAATGTCAACCACTGAGCTCCACATACGCCTGGACACATGGACACACGGACAACACACAAACATACACACAGTTACTAAAGGCTTTTGAGTAAAGAAAAAGACATTCTGTCCCGCATGTCTTTTACAGAGAATTTAATAATATTACTTCTGAGTATATTATGAAAATACTTCAACACTCTTTCCCAACTTCCCATCCTAAGATCAAGACTTTTTAGAAAGGTCCTTTATAAAACCTACAAAAAGGCCTTAAAGTATTCGGTTTCAGAGGTTGTATGGGAAGTCTAGGATCATGGACTGACAAGAAGATTCAGCCCTTGATGCTCAAGCCTGATGACATTAGTGTGACCCCCAAACTCATGGTAAGAAGCAGAAAAATGAGCCCCTGAAAGCTGCTTTCTCACCTCCTCATGAACACATCCCCACATACATATACACAGGAAAATAATTAGGTCAATTAAAATATTTTAAAGGAAAGTCTAGGACCTTAATTCATTGTCAACAGAAATATAATTGCATGATTATATATTAATAATTGTAAATTGTAACCCACAAGTTAGCTTATATTTATGAATAGTTTTTCTGTGGACAAATTACTTTAATATATAAAGCCTTATTTATTCTCCTGTCAATGTGGTAGGTTCTGATAATTATTCTAGACCTCAGTTGAAGCCAGAGGCACTGCAGTCCCGGAGTGCAGAAGGGCTTCTTAGCTTGTGGGCCACAGCTGAACGGCAAAACCTTACAAAAACAAAACTTTCAAGGTCATCCTCTACACCTCATACAACAATATCCTTCCATGTTCCCTGTTGTTGAGACATACTATTCTGTATTCGTGTATTCGCTTGCGTGCACACACTTGCACATGTTGGTGTATACATGTGCATGTAGAGCTCAGAACCTGACACTGGGCATCTTCCCTCAGTTATTCTTCACCTTGTTGCCTGAGGCAGGATTTCTCACTGAGTCCGGAGTTTACTAATTCCACTAGAGAACAAGCCACAGGGATGTTTCTAGCCGTACTTCCCCTGTCATGTGATCATAGTGCATTGCTCCCAGCTTTTTTTGTATGGATGCTTAGGAGGAAACTCAGGTCCTCATGTTTGCTCAACAAACACTTTAGGGACTGAGTCATCTCCTCGGGGAATTTTTGCTGAGTAGCCACCATGTGCTCAGGTAGAGTTTTTAGTGCTTAACTCTAGCAGCAGATAGGACTAACGAAGCTGTTTGATTTGCATGACCTCTTAGAAAAATATTCTCCACCATGTTTATTCCTTTACATTACAGCAATCATTAAAAGTCAGGTCTCTGAAATGTCAGCACTATTCTTTTTATCATTGCCAAGTTAGCATATATACATTTGTTTGTTTGTTTGTTTATTGTTCATTTATTTGCCTCTGTGAGTACATGTGTGTGTGTGGGTGGATGTGGACTCCAGAAGAGGGTATTAGATCCCTCAAAGCTGCAATCACAACCATTTTCAGGTCAGAAGGGTTGTGGCATGGGTGCTAGCATCCAAACTCTTGATTTCCCAGCAATCGCACTTAACTGCTGAGCCATCTCCCTGTCCCTCTTCATATTCATGTAAAAAATCATTTATGTAATTGAATAGATTTAGACACCTGAGCAGGAAATGTCTCTTTTAAAAAAATGAGGAAAAAAACATGGTCTCTTCATTGAGAATTGCCAAACATGGATAACTTGTTTTGAAAGAATTCTAGCATAACTCAAAACTCCTAACCAAAAAGAAAAAAGCCATTTGGGGCATACCTCAGTTTTTCTTGGGTGACTCACAATTTCTCCCAATCTTTGAGTGGCTCCGAGTGAACTCTTTTAAACAGCTGTTGTTAACTGGAACCCCAAAACAAACTTGGTGAAGAATTAAGAGTTCTGGTTGTTAAAATTTCCACTCGCTGAGCTGAGCGAGGCTAGTGGGGCCACCTGAGAGTCTGAGAATAATCTGCAGCAGCGGGTTCTTACTTCAGGTCTTCGGGAATGACTAACTGAAGAACACAATGGATGAGTTTCATCTCCCACTAATAGCTGGATCTGTACGAAACACCCACGGCATGGGATTAATAATAAGATGTGTCACCACAGTCTTGTGACAATGATTCTTTTAGAATAGTTTTGAACCCTCTATTGCGCATCTCTCAACACCTTAAATCCCCTTTCAAGATCATTTGAAATGTCTTAAATGGAGACTATTAATAAATGAATACCTGTACCTCTTTAAGTAATGATTAAGAAGTTCCAGTAACTGTCTATCAATCGTATTAATGGCATAGACAATGAGAAAGAATAACTCAAAAGCGACTTAAGGACAATGTAAGTTACATAAGAGAAATGAAATCTTGGGATGGAAAGTTAAAAGAAAATTCTTCAACTCTACTGCTAACATTAGGGATAAAATTCCCAACAGGACTGAGAAGGACATGCAAAGCATCAACACAATAATATGCTGTTGAAAAAGCTGTACAAACCAAGGAACAGTAAACTGTTTTACTCTAGAAAATGCGGGCCAAGTGGGAGGATTCTATGAGCTTATCTCGCAATGCTAAACGGTCGCCATCTAATCGGTGTGGGATTCAATGTCATAGCCCTATCCACGTCCTTCTCAATGAATGGATCACACTTTTGCTTTCATTTTTATATTAAGTTAATTAGGAATCACTTCTGCCAACAAAAGGATTTTATTCCTTCACTGTTCTATTACAGTATCCAGACCAATACTTTGCACATAGTAGAGACCTGACAAATATTTATTGAACAGTAAACAAATGGTTTAAAATACTGATTCAAAGGATTTGTTGTTATGAATGGCATCTTCTGCTTTTGCTAAGATGGTGCCTACATAACGACAATACAGTGCCCTGTTACAAGTTTTCCAAAGATGAGATCATACTATGTTTTCTCTGCCTTTCATTGTTTTAACAAAATGACTCGAACTGAGTACTTCAAAAAAGAAAGGGCATTTATTTATCTCCATTTTAGAGGCTTGAGATCATGAACAGCATTTTCTCAGATCTAGTGAGGGTCCCTTATCTTGTGGCAAATAATACAAACTGTCCTAGCAGGGATGTGTGATGTGTGCAAGAGGGGTAGGTCCTGCAGTAGAGCAAGAATAGAGGCTAGGAGAGGCCAGTCTTATCTATACTAACCTTCTCTCCACAACTCACCGGAGTCCCATGAAGACCCCCTGAGTGCTTGGGATGTAGGTAGAGTGTTCTCCTCAAATACATGAAGTCCTATGGAAGTGACGGTAGAGGACAGAAGATCAGAAATTTAAAACCATCCTGGATACACAGAAAGTTTGGGGTCACTGTGAGCTACTAAAAACAAACAAGTAAAAAAGGATCCATTCTAATGCTTTGCAAGGGTAGTGTCTTCAGTGACCTAACACTCTTCTAATAAGACCTGTCCCTTAAAGGTCTCATTACCCAAAACTGCTACACTTGGACCAAGCATCCAACATATTATCTCTTGGAGTGTACGCCATATCAAAGCCCTATCCAATCATATAAAACCATATTCACACCATAGCAAGTGTCTTCATGGAGAAATCAGTATCTAGTGGCATAGGGGCTCTATTAGACATACTCCATTCTGCCTTCAAATCATTTGTATATTTTATAAAACCCAATGTTTAGGATACACTGCAGAAGCCAGTCATAGGTGGTGTATACCTACAATCTTAGCACTTGGAAGACTTAGGCCCGAAATTCTTGAGTTTAAGACCAGAGAGGGTTACACAATGTGTTCCAGACCAGCCTGGACTCAGTAGGTAAACACTACCTCTAAAAAAAATAAATAAATAAGAAAGAAATTTATGGAGAATGTGTCTTGGTAAAAGGAAAATGTCTAGGTTTTTAAAGAACATTAATAGTTAAGAGTGCAACTGGAAGTCTTATTATTCAAACTTTTAATTTTTATAGCACCATTCCCCAAAGGGTAAAAAGATGATATTTTTGTTACACAGAGAACCTTTTCTAATTTTGCTTCACCCAGTACATTTTTACCTTACTGTATACTAGAAAAGTCTGTTTACTAATGTTAAATTTACAAAGACACATAATGATAGCAATTTGTTGGATCTAAAGAAAGATCATAAATAGTGGTGTATGTATGCAACAAATGCAAGGAAAGTCATGACACAGCTAGTGTGTGGATTAGGTTGAAACTCGAGATTCATGAGTGTGTATCTCCACATATGTATGTGCACCATAAGCAGGCCTAGTCTTCACACAGGCCAGGAGAAGGCACTGGACCCCACTGGAACCTGAGTTACAGAGTTGTGAGCTGCCATGTCAGTGCTAGGAACCAGACCCCGGTCCTCTCCAAGAGCGGGATGTGCTCTTAACCCCTGAGCCATCTCTCCAGCCCCTGAGTCAAAACTCTGCAAAAGTTCTTCCAGGGCTGGAGAGGTGGCTCAGTGGTTAAGAGTGCTAGCTACTTATCTAGAGGATCCCTTCTGTCCTCTATGGGGAACCAGACACACACATGGTGCACAGACATGCATGAAGGCCCAAGAGCCATAGACATAAAAATAAAGATATCTTTCCTTGACCTGTGAGGCTCCAGACAAATGTGTGTTCTCTAAAGGCCTTTAGATGGTTCAGACAGCAGTCTGTTACTGCAACCATTTAGCATCTTAGTGCTACGCAGAGAGATACAACAGTTTTTCACTTTCTCAGACCCAATGCTTCCTTCTTATCATGCACATTTTGTAATGTCTCCTTTACTACCTTTTAAGGAAATCGGCAGCCTACTCACTCACCTGAATTCAAAGAAAATCAGCATAAAACTTTATCTGCACTATAAAACAAGAATACAGGGGAAAATGGCTTAATATGTAAATGCTTGAGCAAAGCCATGGTGAAGGAGGCATGGTTGCTCACACACACAGCATCCCTGGGAGTGTGGAAGACCTTACACAAAACAATGCGTGTCCCATGATGGAAACCCAGTTACAGATCCCAGTGGTCTTGCCAGGGCCATTCCCGGAACTGCAGAGCGAGGCTGAGAAAAGTTCCACCCCTCCACTCCCTGCTCTTCTACCTCACGACCCCCTGCTAATGCTACTGTCTTAATCTGCACAGGGGTTGCATTCCTGGAAAAGGAGTGTGTTATGTTGAAGGAAACATAACCTCCCGCTTATGTATAAACCAGAGGCTCACAGTCAGGCATCCTTCCACCAAATTCCATTCTGACCCTCTCCATCATTTTGACAACCAAAAATGCTCCCCAACACTCCGCAAATGCCTCCCTGGGAGTCGTGCCTCTTACACGGAACTCATAAATCCCAACAGCGCTCAGGCTTCTTTGTGTCTTAAACTATGCATTGCTGCCTAATGTGTGATGAAGCCACTTTGCCGTTTTCATTTATCATTGATAGCTTTTGAGTTTAAAGTATCTTTAAGCAGTTGCTAAAATTATTGCGATATTGTGTTTCATTATCATTATTATAGAAGCTTTATTGTTATGGCATCATTCAGTTTCTCTTCTGACTTAAAGTTGGTAAAGAGAAAGTATTGAACTTCGCTGTACTTCCGACCTTCGCTCCCTGTTGTGTGAGGCCTCTGACACTTTGAAGAACAGATCGGAATGGCCTCCAAGTAGCCCAGGCCTCAGTCTTCACTCTCCAGCCCTGTGAAACCTGTCAGCCCCATGAGGTCATCAAGAAGGCAGACCGCCACTTGTCACAACTGAAAGGGTGTCTCTGGAGTACTGAAAAGCTGGGTGAGACTTGTTTTTAGGGCCTGCCATTTGGATAGACTGATTTCAACTCATTTGGAAAAGGTCTGCTTAGCATGTATGTGTGAATCAAATTTTGTCACATACAGCTCATTGGAGCAGTGATTTGACTTCTACCTTCTAATTCCATCAGAAAACGGATCACTAAAATAGATAACAGGGTTCAGCATGTTGGCACATACCTTAATTCCAGAAGTTGGGGGAGAGAGGCAGGTGGATCTCTCTGAGTTTAAGGCCAACCTTGTTTAGATGGTAAGTTCTTAGCTGGCTGGAGCTACAGAGTGAAACCTTGAGATAGATAGATAGATAGATAGATAGATAGATAGATAGATAGATAGATAGATAGATGATAGATAGATAAATGGGGAGAGAGAGATGATAGAGATGTTACTCATATATTTAGTTCATATGTTTATATGAATATATGAATTAAATACAGAAAATACAATAACTAATGTGTACCTGTAATCCCAGTACTTGAGATATTGGAGACAGGATTAGGTGTTTTAAGACATCCTTGACTACTTAATGTCTTTGAGGATAGCCTGAGCTACTTGACACTGTCTCTAAAAAAGACAAGAAAACTAACAGGGCTTAATTTACAAAAATAAAAATGCCCCAATTCCAGATAAAACTGGTGTCTTTTTTAAAAAATTCTTTCTACTACATGCAACAAAGAAACAATTTCATCTAATAAATTGGAAGTGATTAATAAACTCCCTCCTCTCACTCTCGCTATGCTACCGCACACCCACGCATACATCCCAGACGTCATCTTACCCCTATTCCTAGAGAATGATGGGTTCCTATCGAAGAGAGGCCAAGTGAATCATCATATTTTGGATAGTGGAGACTCATGAGTCTCATGTCCATATATTCGTGGGTCGTTTGTGCTACATCCTCCCTCATTTATTGCAATGAAAGTAAGGGGTCGGGGATAGCCCATTCTCCCATGTTCCCCTGGGGGGGAGGGCAGGAAACACTCTGAACTTCCTGTGTACTCAAGGGCTTCAATCCTCCACAGAGTGTTTGTAGGTATTTGTAGGTATTTGTGGATATGTGTAGATGAATCCCTTTCCACACAGCTGAGAATAGTCCATTCACACCTCAAGAGTCTCCATTGCACTCTTGAGAGCTGCCAACGAATATTAGAGGTTCTTGGTAACCATCCCTGGTTGAGATATTGCTTAAAATTTTAAAAATATAAATGTCGAGACAATGCATAAAAAGCATATTTCCCAGAGGGAAAGGAAAGAAAAGGGTGAACGTGATCACAGGCCGTGGGAACATCAGGTGGTGTCTTTCAGCTGTAATTTGAGATCAGAGCTTCGAAATGGTTAAAGTGGAGGCCATGTCCATCCCGTCAGAGTTTTATTTGGAGCGGCCTATTTGCCCGAGCCGGCCCTCCTCTCCCCAGCAGCTGCTCTGCCCTCTACACGCAGCAAATATGTTTGTCTTGTCCAAAGCTGCAGGCACTCGCCAATGTCTGTGCCTCTCTTCGGGAAACAACATAATAATCAAATCACATTAAGCCCAGTGTCCGTAAGACATGTGTTTTCAATTTTAAAACCCACAAGTGATTTATTATTTATTTCCTAATATTACATTTGTGCATTTAGTGAAATAGGAAAGGCTCCATGCATAGAGTCACTTCCAAGTTTTGCCGTGGAGTTATTGCTCCGGCTGTTTTCTAGCTATTTCGGTGGCTGTCTCTCACAATTAGCATTACAGGGCCCCTCACGCTGACGTTCCCGCTCAGTGATGCCTGTTTCGGTCTTCAACCTTTGACTCTTGGTTGATTTTTAAACACTCAGGCTCGAGTTATGTTGGCGTTTTCATTATTGTTCTTGCTTTCAATGCTTTTATAGAGCAACATATGAGATTTACCTTCTTAATTTCTTAAGTGTACAGAACAGCTCTCACTGTAAGCGCAATATTGAACAGCAAGTCTCTAGAATTTTTTTTGTCTCATGTAGCAGAACTCCCAGGCTACTGCACAGTGGTTTGCCATTCCCACTGTCCCACCGCCACCCCACCCACCCTCAACAACTACTGTTCCACGTTTTTGCTTGTACATTTCATTATCTTCCCACACTTTTTATTATTTTTATTTATTCTTCTCTCATATATTACAACCCAAGGGAAGAAATTTGAACTCCTTTGAGTCCTGATGTGTCTCTGTGCCCAGAGAAAATAGGATCCTGCGCTACACTGCTACACGCACGCAACTCCTTGCCCACATCCTATGAAGTATGGGATATAATGAACACAGTCTTACCTTAGGGTCGGGATGACCCACGTTCAAATCCCTGCTCTGCTACTTACCTGCTCTGAAGCCTGGAATAAATGACTAGCCTTTTCCAAAGCCATCTGTAAAATGCAATTACTTATGCCAGCTTTGCAATCTTCTTTGATAAAGTATAAACTATTCTCCAAGTGCTCAGGGTTTCTGAGCTCCATCATCTCCGGCCCCGAGTACATTCATGTTGTGCTCAGATCCATGCAATAGGAAGCTGATTGTGCCTGCCCTCGATCAATACATCTGTTGTGTTTTTTGTGTTAGGTCTATTTCTCATGCTGGTAGGTAGACTCAGAAGCAGTCACAGAAAAATGAGTGTTTCTCCTCTATGACTAAGTTCTGCATGAGGACATAGTTTCATGATATGATCATGCTAATATCATGATAGGACTTTATTCCTTACCAATGATGATCTTCTTCTATGAGTTTTTAAAGATAGAATTCCCATCCAAGCTACTACTCATGGGTAAAGAAAGTCCAGTGTTGATCTACAATCATCCTAAGTTGCATCAGAATATCCACCAGATTCAGAAAAGAAGTAAGGCTTGAGTTCTTCTGCCCAAGGATTTACCTCTGTGATTTGTTATATTAGAAAGATGAGATTTATTTAGTTTCCACAATTAATTCAATCTACATTGAAGCCAGCAAATGTGTGTTATGTTAGTTAGAAAAAAATTAGATCTCAATAAGTAATTACCTGATGCCTTCATTCCTTCTCTTTCTAATTTCTTCAATATGCATTTATGTGTGCATTCATGCATGTGTGTGTGTGTGTGTGGTGTTTATGTGCAAAGGCTCATGACAAAGCACCTATGTAGAAGTCAGAGGACAACTTGTGACCGTCAAGTTGTCTCCTTTCAACGTCTGGGTTCCAGGGATTGAACTTGGGTTTTCAGACTTGGCAAGAAGTGCTTTTATCCCCTGAGTCATCTCAATTACGGTTTGTAAATTTTTATGGGGTTTATTGTTGTTTGCTGGTGATGGTGGTGGCAGCGGCAGCAGCGATTTGTGCATGGAATAAAGACTTTTTAAACCAAAGCTCCACCGTAAGCAAGAGATCGTCCTGTCTACCAGGTCTCTCAAAGGGCTTGAACCTTGGCCTACTAAGCTAAGCTAAGTCGCCGCGATACTAACTGGGGAATAGGAGGACTCACAGAGATAACTGAATGTATCTGACCAGAGGGACAGGAGGCGAGACTTGAAGTGACCTGGTCAAAGGTGGATGGTAGTTGAGGCAGTGTTCAAGCAGAAAAATATGGAGAACCGCTCCAGCGGAACCAAGAGCAGGAGGCCTGCTTGCCTTCAGGGGACTGTAGTGCGGACAGCCAACAGCGCCAAAGTAAGTACTAGCAACTAAATAAAGTAGACATTAGGGAGCCATTGGAGGATTTGGCGCTGGGGGCTGACGTGGTAGGAGTTGTGTTAAGAAATAAATCTGTCAGGGGGAGGTGAGAGGGATTGGAGGAGACGAGTAGAGGCGGGGGGTGGATCGGTTGAGTATTCTGGGATGGGAGCATGAAGGTAGAGGCAGGGTGAAGGCGGAGGCACAGAGGCGCCTTTCGACACGCGCTTGGAATTTTTGCAGCGAAACTCAGAGTCCAGACGCATATCCGCAGATAAAACCCTGTGCTTGTTTAAAAATACATGAGAAGGAGAGAGTTAATGCAGCAATGTTTAGCCTCGGGAGATGCAGAATCCACTGAGAGTTTGGTCACCCCAATTTACTCTCCACAAACCACGGCCCTCAAAACTCTCTGGATTTGCTAAACATCTCAAACTCAGAAGCAGAAAGTTCTGGAAAACCACACTGAGCCTGGCGTGGATTTCTTCCTTGGGACGCGGAGGAAATCTGATCTCCTTCCTATAAATTCATTTCGCTTTCATTCAAACTGAATTTTTTTTTTTTTTTTGGAAAAAAACCCTTCCTGTTGCCCAGAGTAGTCTTAATAGCTTACTTTTGAAGACATTTTCCCTCCTTAGAGAAAAGGAACCAATAACTGTCCAGCCATTCCTGACCTCGGAAGTTGGAGACACAGACTCTGCTGGTTATAATGGATTTTTATGGTAGGCCAAAATCATAGGTTAAAAACAGTACTGTCTTATGCGGCTGAGGAAGACCTAGCAGCAACCCTCTTCAGCGCTCTTCTGCCACGAGCGCGGCAGGTGTGGATGCTGTCAAACAAGGAGGAAGTCCCACAGCCCTGTGACTCAGATCAGCCATCACTGTCAGGGATACAAAAGAGGAAGAGCAACCGAACAAGAGCAAAATGTTAAAAAGTTAGATCCAGAGAAACATCTTACCCTGTCTTATGGAGGACTGTGCTCTCCCTCCTCCTCCTCCCACTCCGTGGCTGTGAAACAAAGCTCCTCTCCAGTGACAGCCATCAAGACGTCGTGAGTGGATCTTGTACACAGAAGAGATAATGTCACGGGGCTTGAATGTGTTCTTCTAGATCTGAGTTGGGGAAACTTAAAAATAGCATCTTAGATCATTTGAACTCGAATCTCTCTCTTCCTAACTTCCGAATTCTAAAGGGATGGTGTGTCTTATTTGGGCTCAGCGTTCTGTTTCATTTCTCCTTTCTGTCCCCCGTGTGTGTGCTGGTCTTCATTATTGTGGCTGCTGATGTTTTCTTTAATGTGTCTCCACCTCTTTGCTCTTTAATATCCACAGACTCGCCTCCTTACGTTCCTGTTAAAATCCGAGCTCTTGGTGTGAATAAATTTAGTTTGTATTTTATCGACATAAACTTGTCCAAGATCTCAAAAGCCCCTGGCAAGGATTTTGTCCCAAGAATATGTCGGCTTATGTGAGAAAAGTCTCTACATTTGATCTTACAGGCCAAATGATATATCTGCTTGTCATTTCTCTCTAGCTACCATTTTCTGACTCTCAAAAGAAGCACAGCAAAAAATACACAAATTTAGCCATTTGTGACCCTTGATGTCTCCGGGGGGAACAGAGATGTCGTATTTTATTTTTAAAGGTTTATTTAGCAGCTTATTTTTCATAAATGACTAGAAACTGTAATGTCCAGAGATGTTAAACTCTGGAAGGTGAGACTTGAATGTGCTAATCCGTGCAGTAGAAACCAAATCGTGAGGTTGACTTAAAGCACATGAAAACGAGACAACCTGTTTACTAATTTGCAATGAGGAGGTGTCTCAGTCTGAGATGCCATCTTTAGTTCCTCACCAAAGAGGAGTCTGTAATATAAGTTCTAGAAAACCATCAGTCTTTTAGATATTTTTCCTTTTCTTTCTTTTTTTTGGGTTTTTTTTTTAAGACAAGGTTTCTCTGTGTGTAGCTTTGACTGTCCTGGAACTCACTTTGTAGACCAGGCTGCCCTAGAACTCACAAGGTTCTGTCTGCCTCTGGCCCCTACCTCTACCTCCCAAGTGCTGGGATTAAAGGTATGCCACCACCACATGGCCCCTTTTATATTTTTTGAATGTAGCCTATTTGAAAAAAAAAAAAAACAGCTCTTTCTACAAGGCAACTGCATCTTAGCATCTTAACCTAGACCATCTCAATCTTCAGACCTTGTGTGCTCTTTCAAGGAAATTGCCATCCTGGATACCCCACTGGTCCTCCAGCTTCGCAGGGACCCTGGATCTGAACAGGAGTACATGTAATAAGAGAGAGAGCTTCAGTATAGACCTGCTCCTTTTGTTCAGTGCATGAAATGTCAAAGATATCAACCCATCACATCTATGTTAAAGTTGCATTTTGAAAACTGGAAATTGAGCTTACACTGTGCCGGATGCAGTAGAAAAGTGATTGGGTCCCATCACCTTGTGTCCATACCTACAACTTGCAGGGTATTGTGACAACTCAAAGAAAACTAACAGGAATCTGGTCTCCAGTGCTGAGTAAGAAAGGAAAAACAGACTTCTGAATAAGAGTGAGCTTTGGACCACATAAGCTCAAGTGTGCTGAGGGAGCTCCTTTGGCCAATAGCCTTCAGGAGACCATGCACAAGTGGGAGGGTCTCTTAAAGGCTATTGGCTGAAGGAGCTGAAGGAGCTCCCCAGCACTGCCCCCTATTTAGACAATGCCCAAGTGGCCTGATCTCTTAAAGGCTATTGGCCAAAGAAGTTCCCGCAGCACAAGTGAGCAAGGGACAGGGGTCAGTCAAGGCAAAGGTCGGGGGAGGGAAACACAGGGATTGGCCATTCTGTTTTGAAGATCATTGGGAAAGTTATTTCAAAATTGAACATTTTTTTATCATCTTCTCTTTTAAAATTGGCTTATTGGAATGGTTAGAGGGCTCAGAGGGTAAAGGAATTTGTGATAGATCAAGCCTGACTACCTGAGTTCAGATCCCAGAACACATAAGGTAGAAGGAGTCTCCAAGTTGTCCCTTAACTTCACGTGTGTGTGTGTGCGTGTGTGAGTGTGTGTGCGTGTGTGTAAAATGAATAAATATAATAAATTTGCTTATTATTAAAGAGGGCATTGGTGGAAATAGAAACATAAGTTTATCAAATGTTTCCAAATTAAATTAACCATGAACATTATTTTTACTCATTTGTAATTTTGTGAGTATTAATGGAATATACTGTGATATATTCTAACACATGCACACAGTGGAATGAATTTAGTTGGCATTAGCCTATTATCAAGTTTATAGCGGTCTGGAAAGGAGACGTTCAAAGGATCACAACATAAAGAAATGACAAACCGGGAGAATGCTAGCGCATGCTTGACGACTTCCATAGATGTAAGATTTTGCAGTAGAACCCAGGAGGTACAGAGTTCGATCACATGGTTGCTGACCCTGGATGTAATCAGCCATCTATATCCATAACTGTAGATGGCACAGGACAGAGTAAAAATCCCATAAGAGAAGAATAAGGAAGGCTATGAATGGCCACTAATTCAACAAGGAGCTTCATGGTAACAGTATTGCAATAACAGAAGATGGCATTTTAGATCATTATTGAGGAGGCTCAATCTGTTAAAATGAGCAAAAGTCCTGAAACTAGGTTCAGGTAGTTGGATGCTCACGCCTGCCTGTGTCCAACTTAGCTCACTTAAGTTCTCTTTGTCCTCAGAATCACCTGAGCATCTGCACCAGCTGTTAACTAGCCAGCTTCTAGACATAGTTGATGGAGAGCTTGTCCAGGGAGCCAGGCATACAGCAGACTCCTCTAACATGGGCGCGCTCAGAGCGTTGATGGGTATACAAGTCTAAGTTCTCTCCTCCTACCATGCTGGCCACTCCCCACACAGAGAAGCTGCCATTAAGAGGTACTCAGAAATGAAGAAGATGTTCTCAAGTGTTTGCAATTAAGCCAATCCCAACTTGTGAAATTGTCAAATTACCATACTGGTAGAGCCAATACAAATTCCATAATCCTAAAATTAGCACTAAAGTCATACAAAAATGTGTTAATACATTCATCCTTGTAGAAGTCATAAAGGACCAAGTGAAGAGAAGATAAATTCCACACTTGGGGCCAATGCCTACACAGATTAGGCAACGGAATATTCCAGAACTGCTCAGTATGACTATTCCAACTGAGAAGACAAGGACCACGGCACAATAAAATTCAAACAAAAATGCACAGGGACAACTGTGCACGCCACTAAATAACTGTTCCTATCACAGAAACTTCCTAGGCAGACCTAGGACTTCATTACTAGGAACACTGTTATGATTCCCCAGAGTTTTCTAAGCTGAATTTAGCAGCGCCATATAAGACTTGGCTACATTGAAATTGCACATAACCCCACTGTCCATAACGCACACAACCCCACTCCTAATTAACAAAATAAATGCTAGCTGTTTACTCGGAGCCCGTTTGGAAACGAAGATGTCAGAACGCATTCAACAGTTGAAGAAAAACATTTCAGTGTCGTTGTACTTCCAAAAGCAGCTTCTAGTGCAAAACTGGTGATTTCTTTTCAAGCAGTTTTTTTAAATGAATATTTTCCCCCAACTTTGCTTTCAGCTTTTATGGCTTGGTTTTTCATTATCTCACATAACACAGGAATGGAGGTTTCTAAACTGATAAGTAATAAAGATAGATTTCAATCAATTTATTTTATGCAATTATGGATGCTCTCTTCCTCTGCAGAGAGCTACTCTGGGAATTTTCTTCCACTTGGCATGATGTGTGCCCTCCAGAGCATTAATGCAGGGTTGTTGCTTCACACCTGTAATCTCAACATAGCTTCAAGTCAACCTGGACTTCTGTGTGAGACCCTGCCTCAAAAGGAAGGGAGGGAGGGAGGGAGGGAGGGAGAGAGGGAGGGAGGGAGGGAGGGAGGGAGGGAGGGAGGAAGGAAGGAAGGAAGGAAGGAAGGAAGGAAGGTAGGAATGTAAGT